ACCATTGTTTCTCGTCCTTCCCTCTGGTGCTCTGGTGAACAACCTGACCCCTTCTGCCTTGCAGTAGCCCCTCAGATACTGGAATACTGCTATCATGTCTCCCCTATTTCTTCTTTCCTTTAGACTAGCCAAACTCAAGTCCCGCAGCCATTCTTCGTATGTTTTAGCCTCCAGACCTTTGATCATCTTAGTTGCTCTTCTCTGAATTTTTTCCAAACTCTCTTTTTTGAGATATGGTGACCAAAATTGGCTGCAGGGCTTTGTAAAGCGGTACTAGTGCTTCATGTGATCTTGATTCTATGCCTCTGTATATGCAACCCAGGATTGTATTAGCTTTTTTGGCTGCTGCTGCACACTGCTGGCTCATAGTCAAGTGATCATCCACTAGGATTCCAAGGTCCCTCTCACAGTTATGGTTTTTAAGCCAGGTCTCGCCCAATCTGTATTTCTTTATCTGTATATCCTAAACCACCCATGTGACCTGTCGGGTCACTGCTTCAGAGGTATTTCATTGCCAGATTCCTCAATGTCTTCAACGATGGTAGAACTTGTAATATACTTGAAAAGTTCTTAAAAATTCAGAGAGATAATCAGAGTTGAAAGTAGTCCATGTTGAACTCCATAGAAATCAGACACCTGAGTTGACCACAGGAAACGTTTTTTGACATTTTGTCATAAAATGCTTACTGATAATTTTATGTCATAAAATGTTTTATAAAATTTGCCAAATATCAGTTCTACAAAAATCATGGATTTTGGACGCATTCTGTAAGTTAGGCATTTGAGGTTCCTTGGTTGAAAAAAAAAATTGCTCCATGATGCATTGTTTCACCCAGTTAAAGTTAGAGTTTTCACAGTATGCAGATTCTGCCACAATCAAAATGAGCAAGACTTTTGATTTCAAATTTTAAAATTTAAAATAAAACAACTGTGATATTTGCTTCATTTTTTAAAATAATGAACTCAGAATTGGTGTTTGCTCACATTTAAATGTTAATGTTAATTGCACACCACAATTTTGTGTTCATCCTACCACCATAGCTGAAATTTAAACCTTTCAATTGTAGCTAAAAAAAAAAAATGAGGTCAAAGGAAAATGAAGATTTGGTAAAGTTCCTCCTTCCCTGTTCCACCAATGGAAATGATACATTGGATCAAAAGCTTTTCTCTTCAGAAGAATGCCACCTGTTTACAGAAAGTCAATAAAACAAATGTGCACATAGCTTACCCAAAAATAAAAAATCTGAAAAAAATTAAAGGAATATTGAACACTCTAAAATCAAAAAATCCCCCCCCCCAGCAGACAGCATAGCTGCCCTTAAATATTGATAGATCTTTTGATTAACAAGAAGTGCATGTGTTATGCCTGATAAACTATCAGACTTATCTACTGAGTGTGAGCAAACAGGAAGTGGGCAAACAACATGCTAGAGTCTATCTATGCTACTATGGGGAGAAACTACATGTAAAGTAGCTGTTTTGAAATTTACACATTTATCAGTGCAGATTAGTTTTGATGAAAATTCTGAAACAGGCACAAAAGCAGTGTGGTGTTGATTCACTGGGAACTGTTAAGATCTGGTTAGTGGGTTATATGTGAATTATTCAAATTGACTTTACCCGTAGATCATAGACTAAGAAATGTTGATTTCATACGTATTTATATATTGCCAAGTGAAAACATAATATCCTAAATAATTAAAATATATCATGTGTAAAAGATTTGGTGATAATACTCGGTTGCAGCTGCTTGAGTTCTGAACACTCAAAAGCTTTGATGAACATAAAAGGCATACCGCAGTAGTAGGGGCACACATAAAACAGAAAATGCATTCTGTTCTAAATCTGAAACAAGCACATTCCATATCAGAAGTTCTGTCCAATTGTTTTCATTCAGTAGTCAGAAATAAAACCAGTGGTTGCTGCTGTTCTAGACTTTAGCCAAAATAAAAACTAGAGTTCCTGAAGGGATTTCACAGGAAGAGTAAGGAGTAAGGAAAGGTTGATGGAATTGGGTATGTCTAGTTTAATGAAGAGAAGGGTGAGGGGGGACATGATAGCAGTGTTCCAGTATCTCAGGGGCTGCCACAAAGAAGAGGGAGTCAAGCTATTTTCCAAAGCGCCTGAAGGCAGGACAAGAAGCAACGAATGGAAACTAACCAAGGAGAGAAGCAACCTAGAACTAAGGAGAAACTTCCTGACAGTTAGAACAATTAACCAGTGGAACAACCTGCCTCCAAAAGCGGTGAATGCGCCAACACTGGAAGTTTTTAAGAAGAGACTGGACAGCCATTTATCCGAAATGGTGTAGAGTTTCCTGCCTGAGCAGGGGGTTGGACTTGATGACCTTCAAGGTCCCTTCCAACTTTATTATTATTATTATTATTATTATTATTATTATTATTATTATTATTATTATTATTATTATTATTATTATTATTATTATTATTATTATTATTATAATAGCTGGTCTTTGCTCTTCCTCTTTCCTTCTACGACTGCCACTATTACTGCTGCCATGGCCTATGTCCCTATTCCTTGAGGGTCTCAATCACTCCGAGCATGTCAATCTTCCCAGTACTTCCGTTGTCTTCCTGCCTTCCTTCAGTCGTCTTGCTGTCCCCCTTCCCCAATCCACATTAATGTCACTAATGCTTGCTGTCACCAAGGAAACCTTCAACCCTGTCTTTGTGCCAGGCTTGTAGAAGTTTGCCTGGAACAACCATTTGCAACCAGAAGAAAACCACATTTCATTCTCCATCTGGACCAAATTTTCATTATTTCAGTTTGGAGGCAAGCCACTCCAACCCGGGTATTTCGCGCAGACAACTGGTTGTATGTGAATCATTTTGCGCATCCCTGCTCAATCGGTCGAGCGCATGAATATCTTTACGAAAGGAATAAAAATCCTTCCTAGCTACTGAGGTACTTTTCACCTCCCCTGGAAAAAGTTACGGCATTATTGTTTCAGCTCCCTTAATCTATAGCAAGTGGGCTATAGATTAAAGTGTTCTTTAGGCTCCCTGAACTAAAGAAAACATCTAAACCAGGATTAGTCAACCTTGGCTCTTTTATGACTCGTGGACTTCAACTCCCAGAATTCCTGAGCCAGCTAAGCTGGCTCAGGAATTCTGGGAATTGAAGTCCACGAGTCATAAAAGAGCCAAGGTTGACTACCCCTGATCTAAACACTTGCGTAGTACTTGGAGAATATTGTCTTTTCCGAGGATGATCAGAGTCCTCAACCCCACAGTTGCCGATAGTCAGCAGCATCGAAATCTTAGCAGACATCCAAGCTATCTGATACAAGGCTAGAGATCACACAAACGGTTGAATTAGCTGTCCCAAACTCCTCCCTTCTGCAAGAGAGAAAAACTATTTTGTCTTTTGAAAACAAGAGGAAGAGACGGGGAACTGAGAAAAGAAACTGGGTTTGTTCCATTTTCGTTAGCAGTCTCAGAATTGACTTGGCTTACTATTGTAGCCATCAGACGACCATGAAGACGTGGCTCTTCCACGCTGGGCTAAGAAGGGGGTGGGATGTTAAGTCAGGAGGCTAACAGTTTTGGTTGCCCTGGCACCTGGCGGCAAAGGTGGTTTTCTTTCATTCTTGTTTTTAACATCTAATACATTTTGCCTCCAATCTTTATGTTCTCAGTACTAGCACTTTTGTTTTATACAACTTACAACTCTTTAGAGCAGCGGTTCTCAACCTATGGGTCGTGACCCCATTTGGGGTCGATCGACCATTTCACGGGGGTCGCCAAGCAAGGCTGTCCGCCATTTTTTTTTCCCTTTTCCGGCGGGTGCCTTACCTCCCTTGGGCTGGGCCAGCTGGTGGTCGGCCTGCTCCGTCTCTGCTGTTTGCCAGCTACCCCTCGGCCGGCGCAGGGGGCGGAACCACGCATGCGCGGCGCTCCCGGGCAGGGAAAGTCCTCGACTTACGACCGTTTAGTCCTTGACTTACGACTGGTTTAGTCCTCGACTTACGACCGGTTGGGGGTCGCAGCATTAAAAAGGTTGAGAACCACTGCTTTAGAGCAGCGCTGCCTGCACAATATAGGAGCAGATGGGGACTATCTCATGGCCTGCCAGAGCCTTGGGAATCTCCTTTATATTTCTCTATGGAACATCCTTTTACATGGCTATACTTTAAACAAATCTGTATTGCCGTCTGCTTTTGTTTGTGACTACAAAGACAGAGATTTATATATATATATTTTGTGAGATCAGTCTTTTGCAAAAGAGAAGATACACATGGGAAAAATAGGTCTCACCTCTGTTACTTTGGCAGATTATAAGGGGAGACATGAAAAGAAATGAAATAACTTGCACAGTGTCATCTCTTGCCCAGTAGCACTGAGGCAGGTGGCTAGGGAAATCTGCTTCCCGTTCTCTTTCCTTTATAGAAATTCCAGCCCATCTATATTAGAGTTAATCAAGGTTTTATATTTCCCCAGGATGTTTGCATTATGGGCTAAGAATCTTATTACTCTTAACTTTAGCATAGTCGGATATCTGTGCAATATAAGCATTTGAGCAATAAGATCAATTTCTAGAAAATTGGAGTATATATATATATCACTTCTTATGTTTAGAAAAGGCTTTAAATATGTGAGAAACATCTTAACTTGAAATGTAACTACACAAAATAAAACTTTATACTCCCACTTTTCTTTCCAGCATTGGGAGGCTTTATAAATCAATAATTCATCAATTAAAAATGAGATTCCTGAGGATCTGGTGAGGCTTTTTCCAATCAATTTCTCTCTCTTCCTCCCTCCTTTAAATATCTTTCCCTTGGATAGAATTATGCAAAACGAGAACAAATGAACAATTATTTGTACATTTTAGGGAACAGTGAAAAAAGGCCCCAATCTATAGGTGAAGAGAATATTAAAATCTCAATGTGGAGGGGAAAAAAAATCAAGAAAGAAATTAAGAGAGGTTTTCCATTGCTGTGAACGGATTTAACTTGCACACAAAAGATGCCAAGAGAATTTGCCATCAAGTATGTTTATTTATGGATTCCTCTAAAAGGGGACGGAAGGACAACATATACAAAAATGACACAGTTAAATTAAATTAGTGATTTGTTAACAAAAATCTTAAAGCTAAATCTCGATCAGTGCCACACAGCCAAGTGCCTAGGTTACAGTGATAGCTAGGACTGTACAAAACGTTCCCTAGTATAGGAAACTGCTGGAAAACAACACTGCAGCTGGAAACTGGCCATGCAGTGGAAGGAGAAAAATGTAAGGCAGGAAGGCTCGCGTGTCAGAAGGGTGCAAACAGTACAGAGCATCAGTTGACCACTCACTGGATATTTAATATTGAAGTGTGGGAGAGCAACTACACTGGACAGTTGTCAGTCTGAAACAGGTTCCATGCTGCCTGTCCCAGCAGGTATTTGCAAAAAAAAATATGTGTTGGATTACTACAGAGAAACTGTCGTAAGCGACACTCTCTCTTTAGACAGACATCATGTTAATATTGCACACTGCCATGGAAATAAAAGAAGTTAGGTGACAGTTGGAAGCTTTGCTCTTAGCCTTTCCATTCTGGCTGGAAGGAGACCCACCATTTCTTTACTCAGTTCTAGCTCAGTTTCAATAGCTTGGACGGCACCTGTGTGCTTCTCGCAGTAATCTACTAGAAATGAGTAATATTCCAAGGAGGTCTGCATGTTCTCCAACTGCTTTTTGCCATCTGCAGTGATCAGCTTGCCATAAAGGCGGGCAATGTGAAATTTGGCCACCATTGCAGGGCGAAGGACGTCCTCCTCAAGGATCTCTGGGAAAATCTTATCGGGGTTCCTCAGTGAATCCAAGAAGAGTTCATAGAATTTTATTGCCAGCTGAGCAAGTGAGTTTATTTTCTTTACTGTGTGGGAATCGAGCTCTTCGAGTTTATTGCCAAGGGCTACTTTTAAATCCATCATCTCATAATAGGTGTCTGCCAATTCAAACTGAAGTTGCCTGCTGAGCAGCAGGTAGTACTGAGGATTTAAGCCCGAGTACAGAGGCTCCAGCATATCGACCCTACGCTTGTGCATCTTGCAACGCCTCTCAAAATCTTCCTCAAAGAAAGCCAGCACTTTAAATAAAGCGCTGTGGTCTTGGACAATTTCAATGTGATCGGTGACATACCCATCTACCTGAAAGAACTCTTTGGCTTCGTTGACATAGTTCTGACCTACTAAGAAGACTTCTCTGGCTTCTTTGAAGTCTAACGCAAACACACAGCTCACTTTCTCTTCCATGGCCAAAATAGAATCACACAAATCACTAGTTCCAAAAAGAACAGCCTTCTTTCTTCCTTTCTCCTTCTCATCCTCCTCTTTTTCCTGCTGGGCTTTCAGTTCCACTTGCCTGTCTGGATCCAGCTCACCAATGTTGTCCTAAAATCAGCAGAAATGATTTTTAAATAATGGTGTGAATGTCACAGAACTGACGAGTTAATTCCTTAGTTCTTAGTAATAATGATAAAGACCGCTCCAACTGTTCATAATTTCAATCAGACTAATTCCCAACATTTTTTTCTTCTTCTCCTCCTACAAGGAGTTTCCTATCTTTCCATTTGCAATTTGAAAGAATCGACAGCTAAGCTTTGCAACAATTCTCTACGTATTGCAAACTAGTTTCTCCGACGTCACTTGAATTACCATATATTACAACTGAAATGGACGAATTAAAACTTGCAATAGATTACATCTAAAGGAAAATCTCATACGGCAGTGCCCTTCACATTTGCAGTTTATGGGAATATTTGTGAAATGCTGACATGTTCACGTCTGCCAAGATACCTGGAAATACATTTTGGTAGCCTGACAAGTATCCATCCTGCCTCAAAAGAAATTAACAGACAATTATGAACGAATCCTGCCTAATGCCCGCTGGTTCCACCTGAAGCCACAATGTATTTATTGCGTTGTATGTACTAGATCAGGGTTCTTCAAACTTGGCCCTTTTATGACTGGTGGACTTCAACTCCCAGAATTCCTCAGCCAGGCACGCTGGCTGAGGAATTCTGGGAGTTGAAGTCCACAAGTCATAAAAGGGCCAAGTTTGAAGAACCCTGTACTAGATATTCAAATATGAGCCTTTCCCAATCTTTCCAATTTTTCAACAGAAACAATCCAAAAATTCTCTTTTATCTGACTTGGGGAAAAAATTACAGAGGGAGCAGTTGTTGGCTATGCCTGCTATTAGCAGGTGCCAGGAAAGCAATCCAAGCAGTGTGAGTTAGTATGGTAATGGCTGCATCACCATTCTGTACAAACATAGCCAATCCTTTAATAAGCAAGCAGTACTTTTGTTAAGAGTGATTTGCTTTAGGTGCACATAGCACAGTTATACAATCTCGCAGCCCTTTAGGCTTCTTTTTAAATTTCTAGATGCATATTTAGACACAGAATTAGCCAAGCATAATATCCCACGAAGAAACTGTGTCTAATTATTTGGGTGAAAGCAACAATAATTTAAAATATCTCTTTAAACTCAAAAGTAATAGAATGGGCAAAATCTACCATCACACATTCGTATATTTTTCTTTTAACTGTACTCGATGCTGCCTTTTTTGTACTTGACACACAATTAAGAGTTTGATACTGGGAAAAAAAAAAGCCCATGTGTAATTTTAAAGGCCACATTTAGTTTCCAGCACCTGACAATTAGCTCCTATCTTTGTAGATGTAACAGATATCTCGGAGATGAGCAATTTGTGGCATACAAATATCCAAAACTGGCCCATAGCCCCCCCTTATTGTCCTCCTGAGAAATTAGGCTTGGAACAAGCTTCTCAAGGAAACTAATAGGATTCCCCCCCCCTTAAAAAAAAATCCCTAACATTTACTTCTGCTCCACTGATATCTCTTCCCAAAGCAAACAAGTTTTTTTGTAATGTCTGCTGCTGCTGCTACTGCGAGAAGAGTTTTGAATGAGATGTTTGTACTATTCTTAATAGCAGCAGTATATTAATATGCATGTAAGGTATGGGAATAAGCTTCATATATGAGAAAAACTGAATTCTACATTCACATTTTTACCCTTTTGTGCTGACCCACCCACTGGTACAGAACTACTACCGAAAATTAAGTCTTAAAGTAATGTAGGGCTAGGATGAAATAGGCTCCCTCTCTCTTAAGGCTTCAGTTTCAGTAAGAGATGTGTAATTATTTAGGGTTAGTTACAACAGTAAACAGCAACAATACAAATCACAGTTATTTGCATATGTTCCCTTTCATACCTCAAGCAGCTTTCGGGCCCCCTGTAACAGGTTCAAACAGTATTTAATCCAACATCTCGCAATCTCAGCTTTTTTCTGTCGAAGATCTTGCTGGTCTTGTTCTGATTCATCTGATTTTTAAAAACATAGCATATGTTAAGCTAGCTCCCAGCTAGACCTGGAAGAGATTTCTCAAGAAAAGAACAAGTTATCATTTCAAGTTTCCAACTTTCACTCTTAATAGCTATACAATATTTATAAAGAAAGGCTAACGTGTAGCCAAAATCTGATTCTGAAGCTATTCCATATATTAAGATTGATCAATTTCATTGCACTTCCTTGGCTCTGCTAATTTCCATTTGGGAAAGCCAGGATACAAACGCAACTTAGAAGTGAAACATAGTTTTCCTAATAGTATTAAAATAATTTAGATCGATTTCTATCTCAACACTCCTCCAAGTAAAAAAATAAAAGGAGCAGAGTGTATTGCAAACAAATTATACTAACAAAGGAACTTATCAAATGTTTCCTTCCTTCTTTCTGCCTAAAGGCAATGCAGCAAAGCCATTTCCCCCTTAACATTAGCCTGATAGTAGCCTAAATCTATGCCAAAACCTTCACAATGATATAAACATAACATTGAAAATAAAGTCTTATTTGGGGTACTTATAACCAACTTTCTTAATGTACCTGAATTTGTAAGATAATGTCTTAGGGATAGCCAAAAGCATATACAGTATAAGTTTCCCTTCACCTCAGATACTATCCTGTTACTTAATCTCTGGGCCATGGAAGATTTCAGAGGAAATGGCCGCTACCAGAGCAGGTCTGGCTCATGTGAAATTTCCTCTCAAGTTGCTACTTACTGCTCTCTCTGACTGTTTTTACTCTTATTGGCTGATGCAAGAGAAACAGTAGGGGCAAACACATTTATAAGCTATCCATAGAAAATTTAGTTTAGTACAAGAAAAGAAATATTTCTACTTTTTTTCTGAACTGAAACCTCATTTTAATCTTACAAAAATCAAATGGATAGTGAAACTGACTGGATTACAGACCAGAATGAAGGGGAACAATGACTGAAGCAGAGGTCTTCAAACTTGGCCCTTTTATGACTTGTGGATTTCAACTCCCAGAATTCCTCAGCCAGCGTGCCTGGCTGAGGAATTCTGGGAGTTGAAGTCCACAAGTCATAAAAGGGCCAAGTTTGAAGACCCCTGGACTAAAGTCATGAAAAGAAAGCATTTAGCATTGACCCCAAGCCAAAATCAGAATCACCCCAGTTGAAATGAGGTTACTTACTGTCTTCTGCAGATGGCACGTGTCCAGCTTGGCCAATGATGACACTGGCAGCTGCTAAACAATGCCTAGACTCCATGAAACATTGCTGTGGGGAAATAATATAACAGTGCTTGTTTCTGGGCCATAATACGCTCCTAGTTTTCATTTTAATTATAAAACACTTAAATATTAGTGTTCTGAAATTGGATGACCTACTCTGTGGCTTGACCTTATAGCACTGAGTGCTAAAAAAACCCCAAACAGCTAATGAAATTTTGCTTGCATAAATATTGCTCCAAAAGAGAGTATCATTCAAAATGAAAAAAGTACTTCTTATATGCTTGTCACCATCAACCTTTTGTTACTTAGAAGTTATTGAGTATAACTTTCACTTCCATAAAAGCCAGACTCTAAAAAGGCATAGCCTTACATTACAATCTTAAAATTGCCTAGAAATAAATCTCACTGTGTTCCAATGAGACTCGATCATAGACAAGGAAGCACTGTGCTTCAGCCTTACAGCACTTTTGCCAAATATCTTTATTATGGTCTTTGACTAGTCTTTGACCAGTCTTTACAAAAAAAAATACAGTAAAAGAAAGAATGGTTTAATACAACAATTAATTATTAAGGGAAAAAATAATGGGAGAATAAAACATGTCTAATTAAAAAAAGTTGCACAGCTGTTTTACTTGTTAAAAAAAATTGACCACCTGATTTGTAAGTGTAAGTTTAATGTCCCTTAAAAATAATACACACAATCTGCATGGCCCTCGATTGGTACAATCCAAACATGTCTTGGGGCATCATAAAAGCGGCACCATATGTGAACGTGGGCAACTTGCAGTCATTTTTGTCAAAGGAAGTGTATATAATAGAATACAGAATAAGAGAGTTGGAAAAGACTTATCGTTTCATCTCTGTCATTAAGTCCTCTGGTTCCCTTCTCTAACTTTTTGGGAGATAGAACATGCTTCCTGAATCCTAAAATTTAAGATAATTTCTGTAGCAATATTTTACTGATCCTTGCATAAGGGTATGTGGACATAAATACGTGCATCTATTCTTATATCACAGTCTTAAAATAAAGCCCACTACACTGACATATCCTTTAATTATTGGTCAATTTAACAGTAAGCAAGTGTGCCAAGGCTAAAGGAAACCCCTTCTCAACAAATAAAAATGAATAAAAACAGTATGAAACTTATTTTGGGATTTCATAGCTACTTGTTGGATATGTCTAATTATTATGCATTATTGAATCAGCTTTGTTCAAATGTAGGCAAACAAGTTATGGAACTGAAAATCAATGTCAGATCCATTTGCTTGACAAAATAATTTTAACAGCAATCCAGTTCAACCAGGCGTGTCCATACGGAATCTAATGCCTGCCAACAAGGACCATTCATCATTTCAATATTTTGATTTAGCAAATAAGATACGCAGAAGGAAACACTTGAAATAATTACCTTGGTGAGATAGTATTGAGACAAAATGGCTGCATTGAGGGCCCATTCTATTGGGTAGTAACCACTGTACTCAAGCTGCCGTTTGAGAGTGGTGTGGCAATACTGTGCAGCTTTCTCAGTCATTTCCAGGTGTTGGTAGACTTGGGCCAGATAATACAGGGTATGTGTATAGACTTTCTCAAACCTGGGGAAACAGTGTCTTAGTTTTAATGATCAGAAATAAACTCTTTCACCAATTTCCATTGTGTGTTCACCCACCATACAACCCACCATTGTGTGTTCACCCACCTTTTTGATCTTTCTTGATCTGAGAGTTTCTCTTCTGTCATGAAATGTTCGGTGGAATCAAGTGGAGGATTCCCATCCTGCAAAACATAGCAAGTGCTAAAGGTAATATGTCTGGCAAACTTGTGCTCGCTCTGCTGGCTGCATTTGTGTACTACAGCAAAACCAGTTTATAACTAGGAGACACTCTAAGGTGGGGGTCTTCAAACTTGGCAACTTTAAGATTTGTGGACTTCAACTCCCAGAATTCCTCAGCTAGGAATTCTGGGAGTTGAAGTCCACAAGTCTTAAAGTTGCCAAGTTTGAAGACCCCTGCTCTAAGGAATCATTCCAAATGTTATAACAAAATGAAATAGCAGAAATTAAAGACAATTCAATTGTTTCTTTCCAGGAGAAAAATATTATTTCAATTTATATGACTGCCCATCTCAAATTCATGACCCTGGGCAGCTAACAAAAGACACTAACTAAAACACAAAGCAATTAAAAAAAAAAGAGAGAGAGAAAACAACATTGGCTCTTCTACCCATCCAATCACTGAGCTTTATTGCATAGCATATGCTGCTAGCCACATAGGTTTAACATATATTCTGTCTTCCTTATTCAAACAAAGGAGAACTGACAGAACCTACATGAATTACAGGCTGAAAAAAAAATTGGGTTGCTGCATTCCAATGCTTTACAGGTAGTCCTCAACTTACAACCATAATTGAGCCCAACATTTCCATTGTTAAGCAAGTGAGTTTTGTCCCATTTTATGACCTTTCTAGCCAGAGTTGTTCTGAATCACTGCAGTTATTAAAAGTTAGTAACAAGGTTGTAAAGTGAACCTGTGGCTTCCCCATCGACTTTGCTTGTCAGGTCGCAAAAGGTGATCACATGACCCTGGGACACTGCAACCGTCATAAATATGAGTCAGGGATCAAACATCTGAATTTTGATCACATGGCCATGGGGATGCTGCATTGAACATAAGTGTGAAAAATAGTCATGAGTCACTTTTTTCAATGCTACTGTAACTTTGAACTATTGTAACTTGAGGACTACCTGGACCAGCGGTAGGCAACCTGGCTCTTTTATGACTCATGGACTTCAACTCCCAGAATTCCTGAGTCAGCATAGCTGACTCAGGAATTCTGGGAGTTCAAGTCCATAAATCATAAAAGAGCCGAGGTTGCCTATCCCTGACCTGGACTGATGAGCTGAATGTTGATTAAAGTACATGGCTTGATTAAAGTACATGGCCAGAATGAAAGGCAGGCTGAACATTTGTAAAACAAAAGAAAAACAGAAAGGTCCAAATGGAATGCTTTTTTAACCTTTACTAGGGAGCATCCAATCAGACAGGATCCTGTTGAACTTGCATAATCTATGCAGTGGAATGACATAAAGATAATAACAGATCTGGTATGGAAGTGACCACTAATAAGTAAACTCAAGTAAAAGATGAAGCCTGGCAGAGAACCCATTAAAACTGTAGTTGAAGAATTGGTGTGTTACTTCTAGCTGAAAGAAAATTCAGTTACATAAAGACTGAACCAACACAAACCAAGTGAAATATTTTCTACATTCATATGCATTCATTCATATGCATTCATTTCTGCTGTCTGAAAATGTCTCCTGGGGTAGCTCCATATATAAATAGAGCCAAAGATGATTATAACAATAGGTCCATTGTGCTAATGCAACAATATAACAAAATCAGCTGCTTGTAATGCATGGTGAGTGTGGCCCATTTGAAAGTGCTTTATAAAAAAAAACAATGAAATTTGATTGTTCTTTGTAGCATTATAGCCACACATCAATAATAGAATAGTTCAATACAATCAGTAAAACTAACAGAATGGTAAGATTGTTTTGGAAATGCTTTAATAGCTAAAATATGTAAAATGTTAATACAATTTAATGTTGCACTGATCCTAATATTCTAAGCATTTTTTGCACTGATGATTAAAGGCCAATAATTTTTGCAACTGCAACATTTGATACCTCAGCTAGGTTCAACTATCAATTTTCAAAAGAATGACACAAGAGGAAAATGTTTAAAAATCTTTGCACAAATTTTCACAGAAAACTCAATCACCCACAACTATTCAAGGACTACCACAAAATTATAAAGTAAATTCATTCACTTATTACCTCTTTCATGTACTGATTATATAAAGCCTCTGCAGATTCCAGATAAATCTGTGCTGTTTTAATATCATTTCTTTCTGACCAGAGGATACCCAAATTATTCTACAAAACATGAGGAACAAATGGGTTATTTTTTTTAAAATGACAAATGGAACAAAATAGTTAACCTACAATTGAAATTACATAGGAGTCATTTCAGAAACAAACACTTTATGAACTGCACTGAACAGAAATTCTAGAACCATTTCAAGTTCTGGAAACATTTCATGCTTTATTTAGGGGCAACTCCTAGGATAATGTCAATTTTACCTACTAGGAGCCGTAAAAACTTAAAAGTTATCTAAAATATTCATCAGATATTCTTTTCAATTCTATAATTTTAAGGAAAATACTGGGTAGCTGGAGGGATAATTTAAAGAGGACATTACTAACAAGGGCTCCTATTGCTCAATAATGTTATTTGGCAGGAAATACCAAAATAAAGGAATTTTTAATAGTGTAATGCATAAAATTCCTGACTGCCCAGAGTGATCCGGTGAATAACTGAACAGGCAGAACACAAAGCTCATTCAACTCTGCCTTCGACAGCACAGGATATTCCTAAAGCTGCAAATGGAAATGATGCTTGCTTCCAACAGAGCAGTTATGTACTAGTTCCCTCTATTGCCAGTCTACTGTGCTAGATAGAACAGCTGAACTTCCTTGATGACTAACACAAACACAGAATTGATGACAGCAAGCAGACACAGCATGGTACATTGTTATCATTCCCTCCCATCACCCCCAACTCTCATATTGCCAGAATAGATATTTCTTTTGCAGGCTTCCAGTATGCAATAGGAAAAAAAAAAAATTCTAAATCAGTGTTTCTCAACCTTGACAATTTTAAGGCATGTGGACTTCAACTCCCAGAATTCCACAGCCAGCAATGCTGGCTGTGGAATTCTGGGAGTTGAAGTCCACATGCCTTAAAATTGTCAAGGTTGAGAAACACTGTTCTAAATGGCAAAGTTCTTGTTTTGATTTGTGAAAGATGCAAAGGAGCCAACCCCCTTCACTGGGTCTCTTATTAGCAAATTCCAACCCCCTTCACTGGGTCTCTTATTAGCAAATTCCAAAACTCTTATCTATCCCACTGGGTAATTGATCAGGTAATACCACTCTCTGGTTCAAAGTTTACAACACATCACTAAACTGGGAAAACAAGGCGTCCGTCAACCCCGAAACACCATCCACATTGCAATATTCCGCCATAACCAGCTCATACAGACTAAAGTCTATTACCCAAGTCTCAAAACTTTGCATCACTGTCCAGCGCTGCCTTTTGTCACTTTTTCTTTTTTGTACAGCCTCCTCAACATGGCACACTCCTCCAAACAGGCCTTCCGACTCCACAAAAACTCACCAATTGGGAAATTCTGGGAAATTAGTCGATACATGTAAAAAGCGACCCAAGTTCCAGGGTCTCACCTGGCTGGCCAAGGAAAAAGCTTGCAGAATACAGCATCTCCATCCATCCCGTCTAACTGTATTATCACAGGGGTCTTCAACCTTGGCCCTTTTATGACTTGTGGACTTCAACTCCCAGAATTCCTCAGCCAGGCATGCCTGGCTGAGGAATTCTGGGAGTTGAAGTCCACAAGTCATAAAAGGGCCAAGGTTGAAGACCCCCTGGGCTATCAGACGCTCTGCTCCGACCACCGTTTCTCCCCTTCCCCAAATGAGCTCCCTCTTGCCCAAACGAGCAACGCCGAGCTTTGTACTATCCCCGCCCGCCTGCCTGCATCTTCCCCCCGGTGCTGCCGATGTCTTGGCGGCTTTCCCCCCCCGGTCGACGGTCCCATCGGGTCCACAGGATCGGGGGACCTTCCCGCACCTGGGCCTGGATGTAGAGGGAGACGCACTCGCGGGAGAGGCGGTGCCGCTCCAGCAGCTGCAGGCACTTGGCCAGGTGCTCCTCGCCGGCCGAGCACTCCTGGGTGTCGGTGTGGTTCACCCCCAGCTCGTACTCGACCACGGCCAGCCGCACCGCGCGTCGCTGCCGCTCGCCTTCGCCCTCCTCCTCCTCGCCAGGGCCGCGAGCGCCTTCGGCCTCTCCGGCCTCCCCGGCGCCGAGCAGCTGCTTGAGGCCTTCGAGCAGCTCCCGCGCGCTGTACTTGGAGCGGTAGGGCTCGGCGTCCGGGTCCTTCTTGGACTCCACGTAGGAGAGGTTGAGGGCGCTGCGGAAAGTTTCGCAGAGCGAGGCCCACTCGGGCGCCGCCTCCGCCATTTGCTCGCTCCGCGTTTCTCCTCCTCCGAGGTCGCCGCCGCCGCCGCTCGTAGCGGTAGCTTCTCCGGCCTTGGCGTCGCCGGACCCCCGCCCCGCGCTCTCTGAACGACTCCGCATGCGCGGAGAGGTTCACTCCGCGGCTGGGTTCCCTCGGTCAAAATGGAAGCTCCGCCGCGCTGCCGCGGTGGGGAGGGCGGACCGTTGCTCGTGGCAACGGTCGCTGGGCAACCTAGGACTCTCTGAAAGGGAACACCTTGGTTCAAAGGTCGCATCGAGAGCAGGGGTTCTCCGACCTTGGCAACTTTATGGACTTCAACGCCCAGAATTCCCCAGCCAGCTTTCTGGGAGTTGAAGTCCACAAATCTTAAAGTTGCCAAGGTTGGAGACCTCCAATTTTAAGGCATGTGGACTTCAACTCCCAGAATTCCACAGCCAACATTGCTGGCTGTGGAATTCTGGGAGTTGAAGTCCACATGCCTTAAAATTGTCAAGGTTGAGAAACACTGAGATTCTAGAGGGTTGCCCAGCTCCTCTTGTCCAGTTTTTCTGATACCAAATTGAAAGGGGTTTTGCGATTGCTTTTTCCCGTGTTCTTTTTGACTTCTCCACTAAACTACAGCCCTGCATTTCTTTGGGGTCTCCCAGCCGGGTATTAATCCGCTCCGACTGTGGTTAGCTTTATCCAAGTTCGCTTCCACTTTTATAACAGAGTAACAGAGTTGGAAGGGTCCTTGGAGGTCTTCTAGTCCAACCCCCTGCTCAAGCAGGAAACCCATTTCAGACAAGTAGCTGCCCAGTTTTTTCTTAAAAACTCCCAATGTTGAAGCATTCACAGCTTCTGGAGGCAAGTTATTCCACTGATTAATTGTTCTAATTGTCAGGAAATTTCTCCTTAGTTCGAGGTTGCTTCTCCCCTTGATTAGTTTTCACCCATGTTTTGCCTTCTGATGCTTTGAAAATTAGGTTGACCCCCCTCTTTCAAATGTTGAACGATTGCTATGAAGTCACCCCTTGTCCTTTTCTCTAGACATGTCCAATTCCTGCAACCGTTCTTCATGTGTTAACCTCCAGTCTCCTAATCATCTTTGCTCTTCTCTGCATTGTCTAGGCCTATGACAGGGGTCCCCAACCCCCAGTCCATGGACTGGTACCAGTCCGTGGCATTCCAGCAACCATCCGCACAAACAAGCAAAGCCCCACCTGTGGGATGCAGGCAGCACACAAAACCACACACTCTTCTGGTCCATGGGAAAACCTTTCTCTACAGAACTGGTCTCTGGTGCCCAAAAGGTTGGGGACCTCTGGTCTAGAGTCTCAACATCTTTTTTATATTGTGGTGATCAAAATTGGATGCAGTATTCCAAGTATGGTCTTACCAAGGCATTATAA